ATAGAATCAGCATGTGAAGTAAAGAAAAATTACCCCGACAGACTTTTCATATAAGATACTTTTTTAATTGAACCACATTCCACACAGTATAGAATTAAGTACAGTATATTAGGGTGTATATTGGGGTGAATTAAGTACAATACATTGGGCTTCCAATTCACTCCTGGAACATATATTTTTGAATGCTTAAAGTTTTAGGAACTTATCCTACATTTACAAGACCCAATTTGTGACCCAATTTGTAATGTTTAATATTGCAATTGCAAGGAAAGCGACTAGAGGATAAAGTCTGTCTATTAATATTTCTACTTCAGTGGATTATGTTACATTATCACAGTTACTGTATTTGTGTATAATCTTAGGTATCAGGTTTTATGGCTGATTCAATTGACGTGAAAGAAATACAATATAGATGGTTGAGATGCAATTGTTCTTTCCCACTGATTAACACACAAGTTAAATAAAGAATAGGAATATTTGGTCCATTCTATTCTGTACCTAGCATGACACATACCTTAAGAGAGTTTACTTCTTGAAGCATTTAAGCATTAGCTATTCTTATATTAGATATAATTTTACCAGTAACTACGTGTAATCCTCTCCAAAAAGAAAAAGTAATATTAATGACTACAGAGGATGAATGCAGACTTCATTAATAAGATTTAGTTACTGGAGCACATTTCTTTCACTTATGAAGAAGATGCTGCATTAGATAATAATCGGAAATAGTTCCTCTCAGCTGCCCTCTCCTACTCTCTGCTGGAAAGAAGGAAGGACGAAAGGAAGGAAGGAAGGAAGGAAGGAAGGAAGGAAGAAAAGAAGGAAGGAAGGAAGGAAGGAAGGAAGGAAGGAAGGAAGGAAGGAAGCAAACAAGCAAGCCTTGGCTGATAAATACTGTTGAATTTCTTACATTTGTATTTTAATTATCTAGTCACCTTTGTTTACACAGAACAGGCTATATTGTACCAGAGATTCCATTTAACAGATTCTAATATGTTGAAAATCAGGTACATATTATTTAGCTTCATCAGATATAAAGAGAGAGAGAGAGATAACCCTAATCTGTATTAAAACATCACAGGTTTTAATTTTAAGATTTGGTGATGCTTTTATGTTAATCAAATGCTTATCTGAAGCCCTATTTATATAAAAACATCACTACATCTTCAAGCTAAAACCTCTAAAAGTTTTGATATGGCATCAGATTATTTCCAATAATTACAAAGCAAGATTACACATGGTGTTGCCTTTACAAATCATCCATTCAAAAAGCTTTAGTCAATCCAAGTGAATGGCTGTTATCATTTTGTTCTTCTCTATTGTGTTAATGCCAGTAACTATAAGAGTATAATGTATAATGGCTCTAGTGGTTAGGATGCTGGGTTGGAGGTTAGCAAGCCCTTGTTAAGGATCCGAGAGCTTCCATGGGGTAAGCTCAGTGGTGGGATTCAGCCAATTTGCACTACTTCGGGAGAACCGGTTGTTAACTTTCTGAGCAGTTTGGCAAACTGGTTGTCGGAAGAAATCATTCTTCCGACAACCAGGGCAGAGAACTGGTTGTTAAATTACTTGAATCCCATCACTGGGTAAGCTTCCATACTTTGCACCAGCTCCTGCTGGGGATATGAAACGAGCCCCTAACTGGTGTCCCCAGGGCAACACTGATTTTTTTTAAAAAAAAAACAGGGGTTAAAACATGAGTTTTAAAACAGTATTGAAACATTCCTATAAAGGAGAAAGTATGAAACAAATACCATGTTTCCCCGAAAATAAGACCCTGGCTTATATTTTTTTGAACCCCAAAATAAGCGCTTCGCCTTATTTTCAAGGAGGTCTTATTATTTTGGGGTGTGTGGAGCAAGACGGGGTTCCTCTTGCCATCTTACCTGATTTCCAGCTCTGTCTCCCTAACTCTAACCAGAGAAAATGGTGAGGACCTGCTGCGCATGCGGTTAAATATTTTCAGGGAGGGCTTATTTTCAGGAGAGAGCTTATTTTAGCACATGCTCCATGGCTTAGGGCCGGGGTACTTACGAGACCGCCTTCTGCCACCAATAGCCTCCCACCGGCCAGTACGCTCGCACAGAGTGGGCCTCCTCAGGGTGCCGTCCGCCAGACAATGCCGGCTGGAGACCCCCAGGGGGAGAGCCTTCTCTGTGACGGCACCCACCCTCTGGAACAACCTTCCCCCAGAGTTACGTACAATAACAGACCTCCGGATTTTTCGTCGGGCCCTGAAAACCTATTTATTTCAACTAGCTGGGCTGGCTTGAGTTAAATTTTAAATTGATTTTAAATTGGGTTGTTTTAATTTACGGCCAAATATTTAATTATTTTAATACTGTTTTTAAATTTTGTATGCTCTGTTTTTACCTTGGCTGTGCACCGCCCTGAGTCCTATTTGGAGAAGGGCGGTATAGAAATGTAATTAATAAATAAATAAATAATAAATAAATGCGCTCAAAAGCCCAATTTGGCTTATTATCCGGGGAGGTCTTATTTTCAGTGAAACAGAATATAATGCATAGATTTGCCATGATAATCATAACAAAACAATTATAACATTCAGAATACATTATAAGGGAAATCACTTCACCTTATCCCAGGGCTTGCTGCAAGTACCAACTTTTCACAACTGTATGAAAGCCCAACAGGTTTAGCACCATGTGAACCTTGAAGAGGTGTAGTTCCACAGGCCAGCATAACTATGGACAAGGTGCATGTTTAAGGCCCCAGAAAATGACAACGCTTTACAACCAGGACTGTAGCATCCCAACTCTTCTAGATCATCTGATCACTCAGAAAAATGGAGGAGAAACAATCCCACAGGGAACCAGTTTAGAAGACTGGTTTTTAGAAGATTTTACATTATGATATTAAAATTATTTTCATTTACAGTCCAGAGACAATTAGCAATAGTTTGCTCATCCCAATCCCAGCAAACCCTTTTAGATTTGGGAAAGCTTCTTTATATTTTTCTTTCCTTTGCAGATTTAAGGTAGAACGCTCAAGCCAGCAAAAACCATTATAATTTAGTGTAACTACCCTTAGAAAATGAGTTGAGAACAGTTGATTAAAAAAAAGGATCTGAAAGCATTCTAAATATTTGAAGATATCTGACATAAAGGGAAACATTTATTCTCTATTTCTCAGAATGCAGGACATGGAGTGTTGGTCTCAAGCTATAGGAAAACAGTCAATGGTTAAACCTTTTTTTAAAAAAAAATCTTGATAGTTTTCACAGTAAACCAGCTTCCTAGAAAACCGTGGGTTTCTCTTCACTGGATGGCTAGATGCACATTGAGAAAGTTAAATTTGGTTTTCTGAACTGAGAAGAAATTATATAAATGGTTTCTCTAGAATTCTACAATTCTAAATATGCCCAATGGAAATTTATGATTGTTATTTCCTATACTTTTAAAAAATAAAAATGTGAGCACTCTGATTTGTTGCTTATAGTGGTGAAAAGGCTTTATTGCTTACTTCTGCTGAACCATTTTCTTGAGCTTAATGTTTTCTCTCCCCATTTTATTTTGGCTTATTCTGATACATAGCTATCAGACAAAAACTTCTGCATTTAGCAAGAAGGTGATCACCACAAAATAATCCAAAAAGGTATATTTAGAATAAAGGTATGCAAAAATATGTTTATGTATACATGTGTTTTTATAGTGTAGGACATACTGATAATTGTCAGAGAGCATCTATTTGTTGTCCTTTATGAACTTGTTCCACCTTTATATAACTAACATTAGTAAATTTAAGCTCTGGGCACTTGATGATGGCCTTTAACAATTATTGCTAGAATTATGTAAATCGAGTTCAAAAGCTCAGTTGTGTTTTTAATTTAATATGCACTGTTTAGTCTGTCATCAATTATCATATGTAAACAGAATGTACAAATAAAATTAAAGGCACAATAGTTGTTCTGAATGGTCTGTGATTATTTTCTGATTATTTTTGGGGTTGCTATTTGTGATGTTCGAATATTGAACAGTACATTTGTTACATTTAACTGGAGCAAGGTGCTATCATATTTTTATTGTTACCATTGTATTGAGGGTTCTGCATGCTAAAAATTGTTTGGGATTTTGAATCTCTCCCCACTTTCTCATTAGTTGCTTACTTAGATCCAAGCCCAAAGTTTCTTTTACTCTTAATTCAATATACCTAAATGGTTCAGTGTTTCTCAACAGTGGCAACTTTAAGATCTGTGAACTTCAACTCCCAGAATTCTCCAGCGAGGTATGAGATTGAGTGGAAATTCACACATGTTAAAAGTGCCAAGCAGTGATGGGTTGGTTCCGGTTCAGTCCTGTTCCATAGAACCTGTGGTAAAACCGGCAGGAGGCTCCGCCCACCCACCACAGCATCATCATGGCTGATCTGTGCAATTGCAGAAGTGCACAAGCATGCTCCCTCTGTGAACCAGTAGTAAAGGTAAGTGGAATCCACCCCTGGTGCCAAGGCTGAGAAACAGTCTGATGCTTAGTTTGTTCCTATACTTTTCTGAGTTACATTCAGGAAACTTCTGAATACCCCATAATCTGAGATGCTAAAGATGGTACCCTGATTTAGAACTCCCATTTCTTAAAGTGAAGTGATTTTTTAAAAATAATTTTCAGAGGTAGACTTTCTATCACTAGTCAACCTATTAAATTTTACATTATATCAAGTGTATTATTTTAGTAATGTAGTTACACTATTTTACTAATTGTATTATTTTATTCTGTTCTGCAACACAAATTTTATTCTGCTTTTCATTATTATTATTTTTATATTTTAGAGTGAATGTTCTTGTATCTTAGTATTTTATTAGTTTAAGCTAGGCAGTGGTTTAGAAATATTGTAAATAAAATGAATTAATGTCTCTTTCTATATTTTGTTTCACTCTTAGTAGTTATTAGAATGGTGATGCAGGAATATGCTATGATCACTGTCATAATCATAACATTCTTATCCTTGGCGTGCATAGAATTCTGTGATACATACCTAGTTCTGTTAACCATTCATTGTATAGTTTCACCCCCAGATTCCTTACCATCTTTGTTGCTCTTCTCCACACTTTATCTAGAGTCTCAGCATCTTTTTTTTTGTATTGTGCCAATCAGAACTGGATGCTGTATTCCAAGTGTGGCTTCCATAGTGCAGTATGGCAAGGTACTATCAATTCTCATGACCTGCTATCTCCTGTTGATACAGCCCAGGACTGCAGTGGCTTTTTTAGCAGTTGTAGCATACTGGAGTTGAAAGGAGAGCATCAATCAACACTTGGAGCTATTCATGTTTGTTATATTTGCAAGTAAACATTCAGCAGCAAAGCCCAATAACTGTAGCTTGTAGAAAATGGTTTTGCACTGAGGTTAAAGGAAGAATGAAAATGAGTATTTGGTAGAAATATATGAGGGCCATGTTTAATTGGATTGCAAGCCGCAAGATTCTTAGCAAAATATCTTTAAATTCTGCATTGAATCTAACTACCAAGAGTAGTCAATGGCTCCTTCTAAAATAGGGGTGGGGGAGTATAAAAAGTATCATATTCTGACTCAATATATTTGAAAACAGAATGGGTTCTTTGATCCTGATGACTGAATTAAAGCTAGATTTCAGTCTCCAGATCGGTGGGGGAGATAATTGTTTGATTTGAATTTTAATGTGAACCTCAAGTTTGCACTTTTGAAAATCTATAGATGACCTGGCAGATGGTTACCCTTTTAAGTGGCAGTCTTCCAGTTTTTCTCATCTTTGTGTTGCAAAATATCTACTGACATACTTACATTTTATTTCAATCTATATGTTGATCTGAGTGGTATGCACTTCAGACTGTTTTGTGCAGAAGTTTGCAAATACCAGATTCCTTAGGCATATATACATTGGTGCTGGAGTATCTCTCTCTCCTTTGCATATATAGTAACTATGGGCAAATAAGACATATTAAACAAAATAAAAGATAGCAATAGCAATAGCATTTAGACTTACAGTATATACTGCTTCACAGTGCTTTTCCAGCCCTCTCTAAGCGGTTTACAGAGTCAGCATATTGCCCCCAACGATCTGGGTCCTCATTTTACCCACTTCGGAAGAATGGAAGGCTGAGTCAACCTTGAGCCCGGTGAGATTTGATCTGCCAAACTGCTGGCAGCTAGTGATCAACAGAAATAGCCTGCAGTACTGCACTCTAACCACTGCGCCACCGCAGCTCTTATACTTGACAATAAGATACAATGCAGAGTTTATGTACCTCTCAGTGTGTGGGGGGGGACTCCTTTCTAAGCTTCTTACTTTGCCTGTTACTCAATTGTGGGCTCATACCCCTTTTATCTGATTGTTCCCTGGGCAGAATCTCTTCCTCATGGCTTGCAAGGTCATTCTCAAATTCCATTATATCAACATACCCAAGTTGCATTGTAGCTAGGAAGACCTTTGTATAAATTTTTGTTCTGCATTCATTCCTAGATCATGAGCCTCCCACCGACCAGTACGCTCCCATAGAGAGGGGCTCCTCCGGGTGCCGTCGGCCAAACAATGTCGACTGGCGGCCCCCAGGGGGAGAGCCTTCTCTGTGGGGGCACCTACGATCTGGAACGAGCTCCCCCCGGAGATACGGAGGATTCCGGATCTGCGTACCTTCCGTCGCGCGCTTAAGATGTTTTTATTCTATCAAGCTGGCCTGACCTAAACTTTTCCTCTTTTAAATGGAATTTTAAATTTGGTTTTAATTTATTGGGGTTTTAAAATGTCTCAGCCAAATTTATTTAATTAGTTTTATCTCTATTTTAAATTTTGTATCTACATGTTTTATTTTATGGCTGTTCACCGCCCTGAGTCCTTCGGGAGTAGGGCGGTATACAAATTTAATAAAAAAAATAAATAAAAAAAAATGAGGCTTTGGTCATAGTTACTCATTCCCTAGCCACCTCCTGTATGGATTATATAATGTGCTCTACTTGAGATTGCTCCTAAGAAGACACATGTTACATCCCTGCTTTGTGGGCAGCATTGGTTATCAGTTTGGTTCTAGATCAAATTTAAAATGCTGTCTTTGACCTTTAAAGTCCTTCATGGGATCGGGAGAGGCTATCAGAGAGAGACTGACTCTTCCTAGGAGGAGAGGCATGCTTTAAATCCTCTTATGAAGGAGTTGTATTTTATAGGACCTAGGAGGTGAGTTTGCCCTCTGGAACATTACCCCTCCTGAGGTGATATTAGTCCCAAATCTCATGGCACCCAGAAAGCCCTTAAAACATGCTTTTAAAAAAAAAATCAGGCATGAAGCTCCCCTGGTAAATATACTCAGAGTAATTTTGTGTGAGATGACTGGTCAAATAAATTAGATTAAATAAATAAATAAACAGAAATCTCCTGTCAACAGGAAACTAAACTGTCAATTATTCATGATGTAGTGGTTTCATGAGGTTAATTTGTTTCTATTTCCTGATACTATAATGTAGCATATGATATATAATATGCATATATAATGTGTACATATATTTTACATGGATAGAAGTGGATATAAATAAAATCAATCAATGTACAATATTCTTATATGGTTTGTTACACAGTCAGACAGATATTCAGACTGGATTTTGCATTTCAATCTACCTATTCAGTCCTTCCCAATGGTGTTAACAAAATTATACATATTTTTAAAGAGTAATTATCTTCAGCAGGTGAAATTCTGCTTGAAATATACATAGCAAACATAATTTATGTAATATGGCTAGACAGGCCTCCTTCCCTCCCTTCTTTTCCTATACCTTAACATTTATTCGATCATTTAACTTACACTAAATACTTTGAATAGTATCGACTTTGGAAGAAGAAGTAATTTTAAAAAATTTAGATTATGCAGAAATTAATAGATTAACTTTGATGATTAAGGATATGGAAGAGTTAGAATATTTTAAGATATGGTGGCTCAGCAGACTAAAAGCATTGTGATTAACACCAGCTGTCTGCAATTACTGTAAGTTCGAATCTCACCAGGCTCAAGGTTGACTCAGCCTTCCATCCTTTCTAAGGTAGGTAAAATTTCTAAGGTAGTAAAAAACCCAGTTTGTGGGGGCAATAATCTGATTTTGTATAAATACAAAAGTATGAAGGCTATTGCTTAATGCATTGTAAGCCGCCCTGAGTCTCTGGAGAAGGGCAGCATATAAATCAATTTTTTTAAAAAAATATATTTTTATTGTTGGTTGGAAAAGAGATATAAATGATTAATTTCATAATTATGTATAAAAACTTGATGACTAGAATATGGTTATAGTAATGAATTGTTATAATGGTTTGGATGAAGATCAAGATAGAAGAAATTTTTGGAAGAAGAAGAAAAAGAACTGAGGAAGATAACATCGAGATGTCACAGGGAAGGGACGACTGATGTATTAAATGTTTGTTTGTCTTAAATTTTTTTTAAAAAGAATAGTACTGACTTCAGTTGCTCTAGCCCCAGCATATTTTATATAATTTAATAAATACATTAGACGTTAAATACTAGATTGTCTCAACTAACATGTTACCCTTGTTCATGTGTTTTTGTTATGTTTAGATAGTTTTGGGGGCAATTTTGTGGGCCTGCTGCAACTCTTAGTAACATCCACTGAAAAGACTGCTTTTTCTGGAGAAATGACTGGCTACCACAAACACTGATTTACATAGATTAATCCACAGACATAGTAATAACAAGGCAGCATAATCCATAGCGTATAATCTCACCAGTTTCACATAATCTTGAAATCTCTGTACATCTGGAGCTTAGATTTAAATTAGAATCCATGATTGCAAAGCCTCAGATTTATTTCACTTTTATTTCTTGCCTCTTAAAATGGGGAAAAGAAAATGCATGAAAAGAAGAATGGAGTGCAGAACAAGACAAGCCTTTGGTCGACTCTCTTACATTTATATAAAAAGCAAAAATGAAATAATTTTCACTGATTACATTTACCAGAACCAATTATAATTATTAACTATAATGTATATCTGTAAATAGCACTTTTCTTTTTTTAAGCCCCATCACTAATATTAAAAAAGCGATTGTGCACCATACTATATTTAGATTTTTTTTTGTCTTCAAATAAAGCAAAACACATTTGCATATCCAGATATACACTAAAAATTAAATGGGTTTAAACACAGACACAGTAATTGTAAATTCAGCTCAACTCTCTTAAAACTTTAAAATTCACATATTATACTCTTCCCATCATGGCTACATGACAACAAAATATGACTGTATCCTGGTCTTGTTCTCAATTAAGAAAGCATCAATCCACACTGAAGAATGTCTAAGTATCCTAATAATTTAAGATGCATTTTAAAAAGGATATAAAATAACTCCCATTTTTGTCCTCCAAGACTTTACAGCCATTTTAATTAACTCATATAATAAACTTTCTTCTGCCAGACATTTTCTGCTATCTTTCTTTTTTGCTTCTGGAACTGTCGTCACTCAGCTCTGACATGCTTAACACAATTGGCAGAGCATGGATAGTGACCCTAATGCCTGACACAAATCATTACCACTAGCACATTTGTTATACATATTTGTAATTGCTCTAGATACTTTATCTGTGACCACTAATCATAAGTGTATGAAACATCATCTTCTCTTGTAATTGTAGCACACTTGAGGAAATTAAACATTTAAATGTAGAAGTGATAAGCATTATAATTAAAGGTTTCAAATATGAATTGTGCAGTTGCACATGACTGCCTTGCAATGAGTGAAGTCTTCTTACTTCTAGCAAACCTAAGAAACAAAGACCCATGGAAGAAAGAGCATAGTAACATGCATAATTGTCAGCTATTCAAACAAAATATGGGAAAAAACAGGGAGCACTTAATATCATGTGGCTTTCAACATTAATATTGTTGCTTACATCACTTCCATGACCAAACATATGGAAAGCCTTATGCCAGTCTCTACTTGGAAAAATTAAATGGATGCATAAAATACCTTGGAAGTAAGATAGCATATCAAAAATTAATCTAGACTTCCGGTTTTGCTCTCCGTCGCTGCCAGACGGTCCCTCGGGACTGCCAGCCCCATCGCCTGTAAAGAGCCGCCTTTACAGCTGAAAGGCGGCTCGAAAAACTCCATTTCCATAAGGAAATGTGAGACAGAGCAGGTGAGGGCAGGTAGAGCTCTCTGCGAAGTCCCCAGAGTTTTTTTTTTACTCTTGGGGACGAAGCAGATGAGGCTCCCTATTTCCCTCGCCGCTACTCCGGGCTTCAGGAGACCTCTGCCTTTTTGCAGAGCCAGGCGATGAGAACAAGCCTTTTAATGAAAATTAACAGATTGTTTAATCAAAGAGGATGAGATCTGGACCTGGGACCCTAAATCGCAAGTATTTTCATTGACTTTATAAATGATATTGAAGAAAGGAAAAAAGAAATTTAAAATGGCGACTGCTGAGACTTGAGAAGGGAAAGCTGAAAGCGAGAGTCCTTCCGTTTGAATAGTTTAACAAGCTACAAAGTAGCAGAATAAATACTGCTGGCTACAATTGAGAAGAAAAATTTCTACTTTTATGTTTCTTTCTTTCTGGAGATCTGATATTGATTTTGTTTGGAAAGAAGCTTTCTTTTCTTAAAAAAGAGTTTGTCTGTGTGGCAGGATGGCGTTTAAAGTAACAAAGCCAGACAAACAAAATGGGGATTCCCCCATTTACAAACTACGTGAACAAGCTTCAAACCTACAGACTCAGAAAAATGATTTTAACTTAAAAGAATTTGTCTTGGAGGAGATGGCAAGAAGGGATGAGATTGTGAACCAGAATTTTGAAAAATTCAAGCAGGAAATTAAAGAATTGATACAATCAAAGTATGACAATTTGAAACAAAAGATTATAACAATGGCTGATACTTTTTCAGAAATACTTATAAAGATGGATAATAATATTAAGTTATTAGAGTCTAAAATGGAGGAAGTTGATGACAAGATTTATAATTTGGATAATAAAATACAAAGAATTGAAAATGATTTGACAAATATTCAAGACAATAGCTCAGAAGTAAAATTTAAAATGGAAGTTGATCATAAGACTTGCAATGTAGAAAATATAAAACAACGGATTGAAAAAGAAGTTTTAATGATGCAACACAGGTTCACAGAATTTGCGATCAGAATGAGAGGATTACAGGAAAATAATAGAGATGATTTAAGAAAAATATCTGCTGAAATTCTGGCTGGGATTTTAAAGGTTCATCCTGAGGAGGTATTTTGCAAGATTGATAGAGTCTACAGAATAAACTCTTGGATTGCAAAGCAAAGGCAACTGCCTAGAGATGTGGTGATTTATTTTACAGATAAAGAAATAAGAAATAATATTGTGCAAAAATCTTTTAATTCTATTTTACAACTGTATGGAAGAAAGATTTGGATATATAAGAGCTACCGCCCAAGATGTTAGTAGACAGAAAAAAAATTGGATTCCTGGTGACTGAGCTTAAAAAACAAAATATTTTATTTAGGTGGGATGTTCCAGTTGGTATAATATTGAGATATCAAGGAGAAAGATACCAATTAAATACTGTTGAAAAAGCGGAAGAATTTTATTATAAGATTCTAAAAATGGGTTCAACATCTTCATATATAACACAGGATAAGCAGAAGGAGTTGGAAATAATGGAAAAACATCGAGCTACAGAGGTCTTTATAGATGAATCACTTTTGGATCCTTTAGATGTCTCAGTTGGACTACTTATAAATACGAGAGAAGCGGCGTTGGATTCTAATGTGATGACTCATCAAGTCACAGACAAGCATGGAAATCAACCAGTTGATACACAACTTATAGAAAAGAAACCTGAATGGCGATCTAAGCCACAAAAGCAAAACCAACAAGATCAAGTTATAGATCAGTACGAAAATTGAACAGTTGATATACAGTTCATAGAAAGGAAATCAGGATGGAGATCAAACCCACAAAAAGTCAAGATGTATGGTAATTTTGTAGGAAAGTGGGTGGATACAGGCTAGTTTATTGCTTGTTTAGTTTAAGAAAAGGGATGTTTGAGAGATATACTTATGGGAGTGGACGAAATGGATAGACTATGAGTTGAATAAATGTTAAATTAGGATTTATTATATAGCTTTATAGTGGAAGGCTGCTTTGAAATGTTATATTATTATACAGTCTTAAAGTGGAAGGTTGTTTTGAAATGTTATATTAATATACATAAAAGGTTTGATTTAAGAGATGTATGGGGGAGGAGAAAAAGGGCAGATTATTGCTAAATTGGGAGTTATAGTAATATTACTATGCTAAACCAGAAGTTATTATACAATGTTATAGTAGAATGTTATTTTGAAATGTATAGTAAAAGTAGAAAAGTAGAAAAGTACTAAGAAATACTAACCTAAAGAAAGAAAGGAAAGGAAAACATCTAGTGTACACCCACACTATGTATATGTCTATATGTCTTTCTAGCTGCAAGTGATCTTCCTTCCACTATGTCAATGTTTCATACATCGCCTTTGTTCTTCAAATTTCTCAATTTCCTCTTCCTGAAGATCATGTCAATTTTATTTAATGATAACTTTTCTTGACCATTCACTCTTCCTTCATAAATTTATTTCCTTATTCATTGCCTTTGTAGGGACAAACAACTTCTGCAGAGATCTTTCAGATCATCATTCACTTTTGCATTCAAACCTCATTCACCCAGTATCTACTCATTTTTAAATCTATCCCATTATGTATAATTTTATTATTTTCCCAGAAAATTATTTTCAAGAAATTAAAGATAAACATGAAATAATATACAGTAAGAATAAAGAAGAGAACAATTTCAGTAAGAAAATAAAATATAGAAAGACAGACAGACAGACAGAGAGAGAGAGAGAGAGAGAAAGAGAGAGAGAGAAGGAGAGGGAAAGAGAGAGGGAGGGATAGAGAGAGGGAGAAAGGGAGAGAGGGAGAGATGGAGGGAGGGAGGGAGGGGGAGAAAGAGAGAGAGAGAGAGAGAGAAAGAGAGAGAGAGAGTCTTGAGCCTTTTGGACTAAATTTAGTTGCTTAAAAGTTACATTCCTTCAAGTTTATCCTAAAGAAATGGTATCTTTTTCTGTTTGTCAGTCAAAAAAGTATATTATATTCACTTATCAAGTATTTTCCTATTTCAGTTATGAGTTTGGTTTTCCTTCCTCAGCTCTCAGCACTCTATCTGCAAGTCCTCTGCAGCTAAGGTGGGCAATCTCAAGCTCCTCCTTGTTTAGAAAAGCTTCAGAGGCCTGGCTGCCAAACTCCACTTCATCATCATCCTTGATACACAAAGGTATGTCTGCCATTTGTCTACTTGAAATTTTGTTTGTATTATCCATACTGCAAACATATATTAAGTGCCCCTTTCTATTAAGCGTTAATGTTTCTTCTGACATAACTCACTCCTCTATAACAAAGGGGAGATAATATGCTCATATTTTCCCTCCCCTTCAAATTCATTCCTTATCATACTATCCACTACCTTTCTACCAATCCTTGACATCAAAACTTGTCCATGACTTTTTTCAAATATAGTTAGCTTTCTACCAAGGTCACTAATTTAGCTATATGGTCTAGACCAGTGATAGCTAACCTTTTTGCCATCGCGTGCCAAAAGTGGGGGAAGCACGGGAAGGTCATGCACATGCATGTCCACACCCATAATTTAATGCGCCCCCTGTGCATGTACACATGACACACACACACCCACGCTCCTCATGCTTTTGGCACATGATGGCACGGTGGGCCTGTTAGGCCTGTTTTTTGCCCTCCCCATGTTCCAGAGGCTTTCTTGGAGCCTGACGAGGGCAAAAATGGCCTTCCCCACCCCCACAGTGGCCCTCCAGAGGCCGGAAACAGCCCATTGTCTAACTTCTGGTGACCCAGAAGGTCCAAAAATCAGCTGGTTGGTGCGCGCATGCATGCTGGAGCTGAGCTAGGGCAATGCTTGCATGCCCACAGATATAGTTCCGTGTGCCACCTGTGGCACGTGTGCCATAGGTTTGCCATCACAGATCTAGACAGTATTGCAATCATTCATTTTGTTTTCTCTGTCAGACCACCTTATTCTTTGGTTTTAATATCCAAATACCTGACTGCATCATGCAATCTAACTTTCACTGAAAACCACTCAGGTTCTCAAGCAACAAAGCAATATCATCCAAATACTTATGTACACATAAATTCTCATCACTTCAAACATGTAATATCATCTCAGGCATTTCTCATCATTTTATCTACAAATATTCTGGGAAACCAAGGGATATTCCATAGCAGTGTCTTAATATTCTCTGATCAATATGGACATTCATGCATTCCATCTATTCTCACATGTTTTATTCTCATCAATGCTGCACTTTAGATAAGATAGCACTTATCTAAAAATCTTCATCCCTGTCTTTCCATAAAATATTCCATAATTCAAGCCTATTCACTTTATCATATATTTTATTTAGTTCAAGAAATGTGATTTCTTTCTTATGTCCCAAAGGTGTTTTTTTTCAAGCGGCAACTGGACTTTCTGATTTTTCTTTGGAGACATTCTGCTTTTCATCCTTGGAGAAGTGAAATGTCTTCAAAGAAAAACCAGAATGTCCAGTTGCCTCTTTTTAAAAAAGCACCTTTGGGACAACCATGATCTGGATGACTGAGAATCTCCACATACATTTCTTTCTCATATGCATATGTTCCTCAATAGTCTGTTGCAAATCTGATTGGACACCTGAGTGGCATAAAGTTATGCTGCATTTCCCAAATTTTGCTCCTTCTCACTTTTTCTTCCTCTTAATCAGGTTTCTGCTAAGCACATTCCAGAACACAGTTAAGAAATGAATTCCCTTGTAGTTTTTAGAATCACTGTTGCTACTTTCCATATGTGTAGGGCCAATAACAGCATTCCTACAATAATTAAATATAGATTCTGTTTTCTTATTAAAGTTAATAGTTAGCTACTCCAAAAGCAAAGCACTTCCATATTTTAACATTTAGTGACACTGTCTGCACCTAGCATCTCACCATTTTCAACCTTTTCATAGTATTTTTTAATCATTTTTTCTTGCTTTAATTCTACTTTTCAACATATTAATACAATCATTCTCACTTATTCACTTCTATTTTTAATTCCATTTACTCTACCAGAGGTTATTTATTTAGGCCTCGTGACTCACTTCTAAAACAATAACTATTATTATTATGGTTGGTTACACAGTCAGCTGGAGGTTTAGAATGGATGGCAGTTTTGATCCATCTATTGAGTTCTTCTAAAGGACCTGGGATAATTATTATTATTACTGTTATTTTGAAGATCACAATAAATTTATTAATAGTAATTCAGTACATATATTTTAGGGAAAAGCATACATTTAACAAACGTTTGTATTAAAAACATACACTTTTCCCTATGCAAGTGAATTCAGGAGGCAGACATAACTGTTTTTGTAAAGTTTTGTTTAAAATATTATGAGTCATTCAACTGAGTTTTAAAAGATTTAGCAACATATCAACCACTTTAGCTATTATAATAATTATTTCTGTAAAAGGCACTTAAAACATTTCTGAGTTTATAACTTGGTTTTAGATAGGATGGTGATGATGGGCCTTCCTCCTTGGATCATTGTGAAGGTAGGGATGGGCCAATATTTTAAGATTTATATTTGAGGTTTATGGTTTCCTTTCCTTTTTGTTAACCTACTATTTCTCAAGGAATTTTTGTATATTCACATAATAAATAATATATAACTACCATAGTAAACCTCAAACTTCTGAATCAGAAGAGCCGAGGTGGCGCAGTGATTAGAGTGGAGTACTGCAGCTACTTCAGCTGACTGCTAGTTCAGCAGATCAGCGGATCAAATCTCACCGGCTCAAGGTTGACTCAGCCCTCCATCCTTCCGAGGTGGGTAAAATGAGGATTGTTGGGGGCAATATGCTATTTAGTATACTGTCCTTGGTGTAAGCCGCCCAGAGTCCTCAGAGAGTGGGCGGCATAGAAATATGAAAAATAAATAAATAAGTAAATAAATAAGTAAATAAATAAATAAATAAATAAAATCACTTGGAATGTGTAATTTTATATGAAAAATATTAATATATGAAGATAGATAGATAGATAGATAGATAGATAGATAGATAGATAGATAATAGATGATAGATAGATAGATAGATAGATAGATAGATAGATAGATAGATAGAGGGAGAGGGAGAGAAAGGAAGAGAGAGAGAGAGAGATCTGTTTCCCAAAAATAAGACATTCCCTGATAATAAGCCCAATTGGGCTTTTGAGCGCATCGCAATAAGGCCAAGCACTTCTACAGGGTTCAAAAAAATATAGGACAGGGTCTTATTTTCGGGGAAACACACGGTACCAGTAGATAGATATGGTAGCATGATATATAATAATAAGTAACTTTCATCTGAAGAGAAGAAAAAAATTTCAACATGGATAGCTGTTCCTGTCACATTATAAAACATCAGCTATTAAAGTCTTTCGGAATTAAACAACAACAACAACATGATGATTAAGCCTGAACTAATGGATTTTAGTCTATCTTTCATTAACTTGGCTGACATCAGCTACAATGGAGCAGAACCTCAGATTAGGTTCATAACATGAACCTAATGTTAGGTTCATGTTAGGTTTAGTAACATACTAAAAAAAGATATTTCAGTTTAGGTTCAATTCACATTGCAGAAGCCGTGGGCACAACTTTGACAATAATTCCACAGGACATCATTCTATTCATTTAAATCTTGTGATCATTTTTCAAAGTATAAATAATTATTTTTTTCATCCAGTAATGGCTGGGAAAGAGACAAACCCTGAATCAGATGGTTTATCCACTGTGCCTCTGCTAATCTAATTTCCATCTTTCTTTCTTTCTTTTTCTTTTTTGCTGAAAGTCCTTTGGGATGTCATACTCTATTGCTATTGCCATTGGGTAAAATTGCTCTTAGATTCCAACTCTCTTATATGTCTCCTTGCATTTACACAAATATTGTACCATATATTCTTCCTGGATGAATTTTTTTATTTTTTAGTCAGATACTGTTTTACAAAAGCAAAGATACAAAGTTCTAAATTGTAACAAGCATTCTCCTATCCTCAGAATAATTTCAAAAGCTTTCTGCTAGCAGGCAATTTAGACCTCTGGGAAGAAGGATAAAAGCTGCTCCTGTTTTGCTCATTGTGAGGAGAAAAGTGAAAGAAGATAGAAAGCAACAGAAAAAAACATAGAAAATGGATGACCACTCATTTTTCACCAATATTGGAAGAATCTGCATACTCAGTGAGCTTATTCTACTTAGCTTTTTGGAGGAAACATATTATCTAATACTGTCTATTTTGCTGGTCATAGCAGAGATCTTAGGCTCCTCTTGACTTTTGAAAATGTTTCCAGTTTGTTGATGAACCTGCAAGACCACCTACATCTTTATGTCCAGGGAAGTGAAGTCTTCATTACCTGATCCAGCTGTCTCTGCATATCTTGCACAAGCCCTTCTACCATTATACTACATATTCTGTTCCAAAGATTATGGTCAAGTATACATTGCACAGATGAGTTCTACTTACCTTTACTACTGATTTGCAACAGGAGCGTGCACTTCTGTGCATGCACAGATCACCCATGATGATGGTGTGGCCGGTGGGCAGAGCCTCATGCCGGTTTTACTACTGGTTCTATAGAACCGGACCAAACTGGGAGCAACCCACTACTGGTACATTGCCTTCAGTAGAGGTGTATGAAATCAGTTGTGATTTGGAAGGAAAGGTTCCCAGTGCATTGCTCTTCACATCCATTGACATAATCACATGGCTAGCTAAAAGTTATGCAGAGACAGCTGGACATGGAGACTTCACCTCCCTGGACATAGATTTAGATGTCCTTCCAGGTTCATAAGTACACTGGAAACTTTTTTAAAAGCCAAGAGGAGTATATGATCTCTGCTACTACCAACAAAATAGGCAGCATGATAACAGGATTCCTTCAAAAGGCTAAATAGAATAAAAATCACTGAATATTCAGATTCTTCCAATATTGGTTACATTTTTATATTATTCATTTGCTAAATCCAACCATTGGTCTAACCAGAATAGCATTGGCAAACCAGGTAACCATGTCTTTTCGTTAAAACCTTTCTTTGATTTGGATTTTTTTTTTAATTTTTGTGCTTGGCCATTGACTTAATGCAAACTGTATCAATAAACTAGAATTATTATACTACTAATAACTAAATAAAGAAGTAACTACAATGGATCCCATTGATCAATCAATTACTTTTGGGATCTAGAAGAAGAGCCTTCTTGCCACAGCACCCACCTTTTGGAACATCCTACTCTCTAGGGTAAGGTCTGCCCTCCCACCTATCCTTCTGCAAGAGACTGAAGACTTGGCTCTGCCAGTTAGCCTGGGGATCTTTTTTTTTTTTTTTTTGTAATAAGTTTTTATTTTATTTTATAATATACAAAACTTCCAATTTCAATTGAACAGTGTATTGTCTGGATACAAATTATTTTAGGAAATAATAATCAAGGTGTTTACAAAAATGGGGATCTTAAGGGGAAATGCTGGAGATGGCTGCTGGATTGATGGCAGATTCTACTACCACCTTGCTCTCTACCCATCCATTTCCATATTGATGTGTCCTCATTTTCTTTTTCATTGTTTATTTTATTGTTACATTATTTACTTCTGTTTTGTTTACACACTTTACATTTCTCCCTTTTTATAGCTGTAAGTTGCCTAGAGTAGTCTCATGGTGAGATAGGTGGCAAATATATTTAACAAATAATAATAATATTCTCTCCATTTAGGTTCAATGTATGCACATACACTGAATACCTTTCTATCATCTGTTTAGCTTAAACAAGTGTCCAACAAACTTGTTTTCTGTTTAACAGTTCAATTTAGCTGCCCTTGAAAAGCTTAACAAGTTCTATGCACTCCAACTTTCATTAATAAACATAAACGTTGAAACTTGAAGATTGTCATATTTAAGAAAATGGTATCTCAAATATCACAGGTAAAAAAAAAGCCTTCAATAGCAACCATGGTATAGTTGCATTCTACATAGTAATAAAGCTTAAGGGCAATAAACATAAAAATTCATAAACACTTTCTGTAACAATGAGAATGATCAAATAAAAAGACTTCAGCAACCTGGGAGGAAGAGAAGATGTAACTGCATTTTTCCTCCTGTAATTACTGAAAATTTATCATCAAAGCTCATTCTTTTTTCTTTCCAAAGAAAAGAATCCAGTGAAGTGGTAATAAAGGCTGACCTGATTATATAAGGAAGTTACAGAGAAGATGTGTTCAATTTATCATAAGCATCTGGAGTGCAAAGAAGAAAAGAGCAAGTTTACATGAAATTACTTGACCCCAATATTTTAGAGGTAATTTTTTCTTCTTCAAGTACTTTATATCACATTTTTCATATAAAGATTATGATGGATGATACAACCAGTACTGGGCCTGCATGGGAGATTATGGTCCAAAGCTCCCAAAGAAGTGGCATAGAAATTTTTTTTTTTAAAAAAAAAAGCATAATAGCAATAGCAATAGCACTTAGACTTATATACCACTACTTAGTGCTCTACAGTACTCTCTGAGCAGTTTACAAATGTGAACATATTGCTCCCAACAATCTGGGTCCTCATATTACCAACCTCAGAAAAATAGAAGGTTGAGTCAACCTTGAGCTGGTCAGAATCAAACTCCTGTCTATTGGCAGTGCTAACCTGCAATACTGCGTTCTAACCACCATGCCACCAAGGCTCCTCAACCAAACAGAAAGTTACAGTATTCTTTTCCTCTGAAGTATTCCCTAAAAGGCCAAAAATTAATTTTCCTTCTTCCTTCAAGAATTGAGTTTAGACCTTTTTGTTAAAGAGAGGAACGTCAACAAGGTTAGAGTGTCCTCAGGGATTGCAGAAGTTAATGTAAATGGAAGGGAATGAAATTATTCATTATTCTTGTTTGTCTATAATCCTAATTTATTAAAGGCATATATATATATATATATGTTTTCTCAGGTTTTCGCGGGTGTTTGTATGTAGGTCTTCGGTTATTTGGGTCTTCTCCCACGTAAAATTGGAAGTGTCTTGGCGACGTTTTGACGAAGTCTCATTCGTCATCTTCAGGCTGGTGTTCTCGGCTTCGTGTTTCCAGGAGCCGAGCACAAAGCCGAGAACACCAGCCTGAAGATGACGAATGAGACTTCGTCGAAACGTCACCAAGACACTTCCAATTTTACATGGGAGAAGACCCGAATAACCAAAGACCTACATATATATATATATATATATACACATACATCCTACGAAGAGTAAGAAAATAGATATTGTACCTTTACAGGGAGGATACATGAGATGTGGATGTGGCTTACTGATGATGGCTAACGAGCCAGAAATAGATCTATATAAGTCTCTCACCAGGCAGCAAGGGCCTGCTGGCTGCAAGAAGGAAAAAAGCCCAGAATTGAGTGAATGTGACTCCACTGAGCTAGGGCTGCAGAAAAACCTTGGTTACGTAGGAAAAACCTGGCTAAAAGAAAAAACACACATAAATCCTACGAAGAGTAAGAACATATATATATGAATTAAAAGAAATAAATATTTGACCTCTACAGGGAGGAGTCATTAAAATATGGTGTGTCTGGCTGAAGAGGTCCAAGAAGGCCGAAATAGTGCTATCCCAGTCTCCCATAAGTCTCAGAAGAAACAACATAAAATGTCTGACAGGCCTGAAAGCGATGAATAGAGATTTCATCCCACCATGGCCATTTAACATCTTTCAACCTAGGAAAAAACCCTGCTTGCAAAAATATCACACATTTATACCTATGAATTAAAAGAAATAAATATTTGACCTCTACAGGGAGGAGTCTAAAATATGGGTGTGTCTGGCTGAAGAGGTCCAAGAAGGCCGAAATATATATATATATATGTTTTCACGGGTGTTTGTATGTAGGTCTTTGGTTATTTGGGCTTTCTCCTGCGTAAAATTGGAGGTTTGTTGGCAATGTTTCGACAAAGTCTCATTCATCATCTTCAGGCTGGTCTTCTCGGCTTTGTGCTTTTAGGAGCAATTTGCTCCTAGAAGCACGAAGCCGAGAACACCAGCCTGAAGATGACGAATGAGACTTCGTTGAAACGTTGCCAAGAAACCTCCAATTTTACGCGGGAGAAAACCCAAATAACCAAAGACCTACACACACACACACACACACACACACACACACACATATATATACACTATATACACTATATACTATATATTTATATATACTATATATTTATATATAGTAAAATATATACCATAAAATAAAAATACTATTTATGGTTTTGTTAAACTGGTCAAATCTTCTACAAAATACCTTACAACCTCCACTCCCCAACACACACGTTTTTACATGAAGCTTAAACCGAAGTCTTTTTTAAGAAGATTAACTGACAATTTAATGGATTGTACCAAAGATTGTTTAATTTGCAAATAATCTAAATGTAATGAAATTTCTAATGCAACATGCAAGCTACTCTGGGTTCACAAATAATGAGCTGTTGAATCTTTTGTTATGAAATCATTTTGCTTGGTGGCAAAATACCTTTAAGCCAGTGTATTACATGAGCAAATTATAGGACCTGTTACTGACAGTGAAGAAATGACAGCAAAATTTTCTCATTAAAATCATACTGGAAAAAAAATTTAAAATTATTTACAATCACCATCCCATAAAACCGTGTTCTGGTATATATGAACTACTTGACTTAGAAGATCAAAGTACAATTTACAATTGCTTAAAGATTTATGCCTTCCCTATGGACAAAAATGCTGTGCCAATGTAGAATTACATTTAGAAAATTAATGTTCTGATCCCATTGAGAGTTGTGTTTATTCTCCAAACCAGTGGTGTTGGTTTGTCATGACTCACTAAAGTATTTTTAAAAAATTCTTTATTCTTTATTTTCCCTTACAGTAAAATAAATCCTTGCTTCTAGACATATGAAAAATATAAATTATATCTCTTATGTCTTAGTTGTCACACACATCATTCTTCCCCAACTTGCTTTCCAGAAACTGCATTCTAGTACTTTAAGAACAACTATTAAACCATGGAGAAGGGGGATTCAAAATCCATAGGTGGAGTAATATATTTGTGTTATTTGTTGTCAACTGAACTATGACTTGATTTTAACAGCTGTAATTTCAGTACTCGTACATAAGTAATTGAGAAACATTTATTTAGGGAGAACTTGAAACTCTCTGAGCTTGATTGTTTTCTTGCAGATATTTCATTACCCAACTAGGCAACATCGTCCATGCTAGAAGAAAATTGGGTTTGCTTGCCCTGTTAGTGTTGGTGGGAGTGTTGTTTTATTCTTGGTAGTTCCTTGTTTAGGCTGTTGCTTACCATTTGATTGTTTGTCTGAGTTGGTAGTTCCTTGACTGAGGTATTGTTTACTGCTTGAATGTTGGTCTGCTGTTAATGCTGGTGTTAATTCTACAGTTCAACCCTGAGCTATAAATATTCTCTTCTATTGAAACATTTGTTTGTTTATTCTTCCCAGCAAGCTTGGACAAATTGCTACTACACAGCTCTCCTTCTGATCAGACCCAATTTGCATGTTTAGAAGCTGTCCATCACTCCATCCAACAATTTAATCTGGTACACATAATAGCAACAAAATAAGCCACCTCCTTCTTAATAAAGAGTTCTTGAACTCAAAAGCTGGTAATTGTTTGGTAAAACTTCAATTGTCCTGATTAAACAATTGTATGAAGTGATTTTGTGTACTTAATTAAGGGAAATTAATTTTATGGGAATATGCATGAGTTTTTATCTATTCTTCATATTCACTTGGCTTTCTGTCTTTAAAACCTGTTCCCTTCAGAGTGAACTAGCTGAAAATAGTAACCCAAGTCTGTGCAGTTCTATGAAATCTTTTCAACGTATGAAATATTATGTCGATCTGTAGAGGGCCTATGATTTTATGTGGCTTCAATGTCTTATCATTTGCATTAACAGAAAAAAAATCTGAGGTGTATTTTTTAGCATTTCTTTTGAATTTACAAAATTCAGACAAGTAAACAGAGTGTCACAGCATGTTTAATATACTACAGCAGCTTTTGGTACATAGCGATTTCTATTGCCTGAATCCAAAATTCAATATGGTTAAATGTTCCATATTTGGAAGCATTTGATCATACCATTTTTTTTCTTAAAGAAAAAAAATAAAAATGAAAAGTTGCCTTATTTTTCAAAGGCAATACAAATAAAGTTGCTTTGATTCTGGTGATACAACTACATGAATGTGAATGTAAGTTAAGAAATACATTCAGACTTTTTTCTTTTAACTCTTTTACATACCTTCAGAGCCAAAATCTGCTTTTCAAAGTCTGAAATAGACATTGCATTTTGACAAGCATTATTCTTTCTGCATTGTAAGCACTGATGGATCAATTGTATAGATTTGTTCATATGAAGAAACTGTATGAATCATAAAGAAATTGCTTAACTTTTATTTAGCTTTCCAAAAGAAAAGAAGCATGTCTCCTTGTACCAAGATACATTTGAAGGTCCCCAGTGATTATAGGGGATTTCTATATAGCCTGACATGTTAAGGTGAAAAATTTTCAAGGACAGCCTCACCATCTGTCATCAGCTTGGTTTCCTGACACTGACAGCTGTTCTAAAATGGTCAGTGGACCTCATGCATAACAAAAATCTTGCTCTTCAGTACTGTTTATATTTCAGTTTGATTTGATGCTCTTTCAAAAGTATCGTTGCTGCTGCTGTTGTTGCTGGAAAAAATAAATTCCCTAAAGCAAAAAAAAAAAAAAAAGAAAGAAAGAAAGAAAAGAAAAGAAAAGAAAAGAAAAGAAAGGGGGGGGAAGTAGCATTTCAACTTTAGGATATGTAAAAAAAAATAATTTAAAGTTCATAAAGAGATGTAACACACTATAAATGAAGAAAAGGTAGCCTTTTGCTCTTTTTAAAACACAAGTCAAAGCAGGTAAAATTTAAGTTTGCTTTACTACAGAATTTTGATATATGTCTGTTGGTTGTTGTGTAGATATACTCTGTAGGATTGACAGATTGTTTTCTATTTTAATAATCTACATGATTTTCTTCTGAATAAGCACCTATAGCTTGCATTGCAAACTACTAATACCAAAAGGCTACAATTACTTTCTCATTAAAACTATTCAGAAAGGGTTTTCAAGCAAAATTTTAAAATAAAGGCGATCAGTATTATTAATATAAATATTAATAGTTATACTAACTTTTCAAACAGTCCAGTCCTACATCACTGATACAGAAGAATGGTATAGTATTTTAGTGTGTTTTGTGTTTGTTTAAATAATGCTGGTAATGAATAATAATGGGGAAATG